TGTGGTCGACCCCCCTCAAAGCTCTTGCTAGATACTTTCGAGCTACGATGTTCTACAACATCGCGAAAACGCCTGCCTGTAGCAGGGGATAACAAAAACCCAAACACGCGTCCATAAAAAAAAACTGTCGGCCCAAGAAACCGCAAAAAACCCCTTTATTCTTAGCGGGTCGCTTTGCGATACCACTACCATCACCACAACTATCCTGGGACCTACTAACACAACGCGGCTTGCGAAGGGACGGGCCGAGCCGAGCCGCACGCACGCTATCCCTGCCCTTTCCTCCAGTGTCAATCACGAAACGACAGGAACAATGTACGTACGCACTGAAGGAAGGGCGACACATGGATGGGCGCGGCGAACTACTGGCTGCAAATAATACGTCACGCGGTGGGAAAGAGAGAAAGAGAGAGAGAGAGAGAGAGAGAGAGAGAGACAGAAGCGCTCGGCTTACGTTCTAGGGCTGCCGGCAACAGTGAACATTTGGCACACGCACGTTACTTATGGGCGGGGCCAAAGGCTTAAGACAACACTTAAAAAGAAGGAAGACACACCACTGCGAAACTGATGCCAAGCAAAGGGAGACAGATCAACAACACGTCATCATGCGTCTGGTGTGTACATCCGAGAACCAAAACCTAGCCGACCAAAAACGGGGGGCAGCGCAGACAACAACAAGATTACCAACAAGACACCCGCTAGCACGCATCCTATCCGCGAGGCGGCAGACGGTGCTGCTGCTTTTGCCGCCGCCAGGAAAAGAGGCGACCGAACCACCTCGTTTTACAAGCATCGGCGACACGCTTCGCTCCGAATAATAACCCAGTCCCACCGGTGTATGCATCTACATCTGACGTCAACCTCCTTCCTTTCATATTCTACGTTCACGTAATTAACTATCGCCGTCCCATAAATAAACATCGATACGCACGTCTTCCAGGGCATACGAACCCCCCCCCCCCCCCCGCTCACACCTAAATAACTGACAATAACCGCCTCAAAGGGTATCAACCGGAGGTGGGCATCAGCGTGAAAAAATGCCGACAAGGACAAGAACGCGTTGCTCGGCCGGCTTGTGTAGCAGCATTCGCGTCCCTCGGTTATTCACACAAAAAGTCACCCCCCTTTCCCCGGACCGAACGATAATGTCCGCACCGCCACGTCTCCCCCGAGACTCTATTGTAGAAATAGCGCGCTTTTTTCTTCTTCCCGCACCTCGGATAAAAAAAGTAAAAACAAAGCAGAACGACGAACACCACACGATTGGGATGGATTGATAGTGTACCCCCCGTGGGAAGAGGGGCACCGTGCGTGCGGTGCCGTGTGCCGCGGAAAAACACACCATAAATGCTGGGCAGAGACAGACCCGACCTGACGAGCACATGCTGTGGACGCGTTCACAGCCCCAGAGTACTTGTAACCCTACTTTTTTCGCTTCTGGCGCACATAATTCATACTATTTTCCGTTACGTTGCCAAATGTTACGGTGCCCATGACGTCTCGAAAAAAAAAAAAAAGTCGGCGAAACTCGCGAGCGCTGCCACCCATTCGGACAAATAGCAAATATGTGAAACCTTCCCCACCGCCAATACAACACAAAGGGAGGTGGGCGCAATTTTGTTGTCGTCGCTGAATATCAACACCACCTCTCCGGCCCTGCCCCCCCCAACTACATAACGATGATGAAACCAGGGGGAGGAGGGAGTCGATCACATACTCTCACACAAAAAACTGTTCCGTGTATTCGTCTAGCCAAACATCATCTAGCGAATGGACGTACGTGTGAACATGCAGCAGGCGCATTTTGGAGTGAGACACGGAACACATGCATGCAAGCAACACCTAAGACAACAAGAAGAGTTGGTACGCAGCCAGGACCAAGTCGGTGACTTTTCACAAGCAAGGGGGGTACGGGAAAAAACGAATATAACTTCTTCAAAATCCCCGTGGTGCTCGTCGCGCGCATCCCCGCCCCCCGCCCTCCCGCGACGCCCAAACACGCGAAAAATACACTACAAACACGACAACTCAGGGCAGACACATGGCCCCCTGATTTTTCTCCACCTCACGAGACCCCCAGCTCAATCGACACACAAGAAACAACAAAAGCAAGGCCTGTTGCAAGGGATGTGTTTCGCCCGATGGGTCTGCTTGACACGTCTTCCTAGCGACCAGTCTCTCTCCTCGCCCCCGTCGCGACGGATCAATCGCGTGTGAGCCGTGGCACCGCATCGTCCTTGCAAAAGTCCGTTCGCTTGAAGCGTTTTGTTCTTCGCCACCAAAAGCCGCTTCCGTCTGTAATGCCCCTCTACACCTTTGGAGGCAGGCATTCACTCACCCCCCGCCCCCGCCCCCCCGCCCCACCCCGCCCAACAAAACGGCGGTATGTTCTACCGGAGCGCAGCACACAACGCTACCGCCAGCGCCAGCGCCACAGCCGCAGGAGGCAGACAGGCAGGCGGTAGCTCTTCCCTCCCCCCCCCCCGGCGGCACACCCAGGACACCTCAAAAACCCGTCAAGAATCTAGGTCTGGTCTCTCGGGGGGCGGGTCTCCAGCACCCGTCGCCTCTCACTACTCCATGTTGGTGGTCTTGGACTCCACCAGCCCCGCCGCCATGAAAGGGTGGCGGCCGACCTCCTTTTCCCGGGGCTCCGCGGAGTAGCCGCTGATGTTGATCGCCGCCACGGCCGCCTTCACGCCGGAGAGAGCGGGAGCGGCGGCGGCACCGCCGCCACCGTTGGAAGCAGCGGCAGCAGCACCGTTGCTGGCAGCGCCGCTCGCCCCGACGTCCTTCTTCTCGTCTCCGGTAAGGCCGTTGTCCTTGAGGCCGGCCACGAACGCCTTGCCGCCGCCGGCGGTGGCGGCGGCACTTTCCATCGCCACCGCCTCGAGCTCCTCCTCCGCCCGCGGCGGGGACCCCTCGTGGATGGACTGCGGCGACAGCGCCTCGGTCGCAGACGTCTGCACGGTGCTGGAGGTGCTCACCTCGCCGGTGCTGAGCTTCATCATCCCCGCGGCGCCCTGGGGGGACAGCGGCGCCGGTGCCAGCGGGGCGACCGCCGCCGCCGCCGCCGCCGCCACCTCGGGGGCACTCATCCGCTTCGCGGCGACGGCGACCGCGTCGGCGGCAGCCTGAGGGTCCAGGAGGTTGAGCGCTTGCCCCAGGAGACGCCCCAGGGCAAGCCTCGCCTCCTGAGGCTCGGAGTCGTCCTGCGGCGCATCGTGGGAGAGGCGGGGAAAACAATTAGGTTTGGAGGTTGGTTATTCATTTAGCGCATTGATGCTGGGAACAGGGGATGGGGGAAAAAAAGGGGTAAACGTACATGCACCGTTGGGGGGGGGGGTGCGCACGATGGTGGTTTGCCCATTCGTCTTGATACAAATCCTCGCTCACCAGGGGATGCTTGGCTGCATACCGGGCATGCGCAACATCGGGGAGTGGGCGCATGATGTATACCGCTAACCAACTCACGGAGGGAGCTAGGGCCGTCGCCAGCACAACGAAGGGGACTGACAACCTTACCCTTACCCCTTTACCCCCCCAAGAAAATATAGACAACAACAACAACAACAACAAGTCTTAGAACGCTCACAAAAGTACGGATAATACTCCAGTAAACATCAACAATAAAAACATTTCTCACCAATCCCTCGTCTTGTCCACCGCCAACCAAGCCCCTCGCGAAGCCGCCGCTCCCCGCCGGGGTAACGTTCGGCGACAGCCCTGACCCCGAGGCTAACTTCCTCTTGAACCTCTCCGCCTCCGCCCTAGCGTCCTGCAGCTCTTTCTTCAGCTGGAGGCTCTCGGCCTTGAGGCTCGCTACCACGGGGCCCCCGCTGCTCACCCTGCCACCCCCACCCCCCGCGCCGGGGCCGGCCTCGATCAGCGCGGTCGAGTTGGAGGAGGAGTTGAAGTTGCTGCTGGTGCTGCCGCTGTTGCTGTTAAGGGCCATCCTCTCCTGCTCACTCTTGAGCCAGTTGGACGCCTGGACCTCAGCGTCGTCCCTCTCTCGGCGGAGACGGTTGACCTTGTTCTTGAGCTTGGCGATCGTGGCCGCGGCCTTCTGGTCGACGGACACCTGCTCGTTCGTTGGTAATGTACGGGGGGGGGGAGCTAACAAAATTGGTCCCGGTATAATGCTGGTACGATCCAGCCGATTCCACCGGCATTATTCAGAGAATGAAAGCAACTTGAATATATTCCTTCTGTGCCAGACGATTTCACCGGCATTATACCGGGAAACCGGCATTATACCGGGACCACTACTTTATTAGGGCGAGAAGCGCACATTACAAGGGTTTGCAAGCCATCCTCCAGAGTGCGCTGGCTCATGAGAGCACCGCAGTGTCATCAAGGCGTGAATATGAAAGATGAAAGCTGGCAGGACCAACCCACACACCCGTGATGACGTTCCCCCAAAGCTCAACAGCCGACGTCCTCTCGACTCGAACAGCCCAACCAATCAAATTCACAAACACAAGAGAGCACGTCGTGCGAAGCCCACCCGGTGCGGCGCAAGCCGCCAAGAAAACGCAAATCAACCAACCATGTCGTGTCGATGGCGGCTCGGTCACACACACACCTGGTGCGCCAGCATTCCTCCGTCCCCCATGCCCGTCATCGACCCCCCTGGCGCGGTCTGCGCCCAAGACGCCACCATGGGGTGGCCCCCTTCGCCGGGGCCCGGTGTCTTGGGGAAGATGCCGTCGCCCCTGCCTCCCCCAGCACCACCATCGCCTTCGAGAGCTTCGCCGTTGGCCTCGTCCGCGGTACCGGCGCCGGCGACGACGGGGAGCGAACGCGAGGAGGACATGGCGTGCTGCTGCTCAAGCCACCGCATGGCGTCGGCCCGCGCGGAGTTGCGCTCGCGGCGGAGGCGGTCGACCTGCTTCCTGAGCTGCTCCCGGTCCTGCCTAGAGATGGTGTTCTCCGCGGCGTTGTTCTCGCTGTTAAGACCCGTCGTGTTGTGTCATGTCCCACGGTAGAGACCGGAAAGGGGGGGGGGGGGGGGGGGGGGGGGGGTT